AGAATATTTTTAATGAGTACGCAGGGGATTCTCACGATCAGCAGAATTTCAGAGATACTGCCAGGACACTCCTAAATGGCTGTGATGTTAATTTTATGTGTCAACTTAGCTAGGCTATAATTCTCAGTGGTTTGGCCAAATACTAGACTAGCTACTGTTCCATAATGTAATCTAGTATAATTAATGTAATCACCTTCCATAGTGCAATCTAATGTAATCAATCAGTTAAAAGGGGAAGTTCCTTAGGGTGTAGTCTGCCTCCATACTATAAATGGTTATTTTGGCAGAACTCTCTTGCACTCTCTCTCCACTCTGTGCTCTTCTCATCATCTATATGTGGATCTGGGAATGCAAGTCTGCAGAAGTCTCCAGCTTGCTGCATAACCTATGAATTTTGGACTTGCCAGCACCCACAGTCACATGAACCAATCCCTTGAACCCTTGAAGTAAATCTCTGTGTCTTTCTCTCCCTCTTTACACACACACACACACACACACACACACACACAAACATATATAACCAAAAGGTCAGCAATTCAAATCCACCAGCTGTTCCTTGGAAACCCTATGGGGCAGTTCTACTCTGTCTTATAGGGTCACTATGAGTAAGAACCTACTCAATGGCACTTAACAACAACAACATATATATACACACACAGGAACCTTGGCTAAGACAACGGCCATAGAATATGCAAGTGTATAATATTAAGGGTCAATTTGAAACTGACTAAACCACTTAAATAAGAGGAACCCAAGCAAGGAGAAGCTGGACCTTATGCAATTGTCATGGGGAAAATGTGCTTGTTTGTTCAGCTGTCTTCCTGGGAGTGTGAAATTATTTTCACAGTAGAGAGTGTTCACAAATCTTTGCAAGACAATAACAGACCCCCAATAAAAGGAACTCCTGAGCCTGCTGCATTTCAAGTGCATTTCACGTGTATATTCCTTAAATTTCCAGATACCAAATATGACCCCAATCAAAGTAATAGTACTCATTTAAATACATGTCTAAATATTTTGAAACAGCTTGGTAGAATTTTCTATCTCAAGGTAGAAAAGTATTTCTTAAATATGACACAAAACACAAGTCATAGTCAAAAGATTGATGACTTTGATTACATTAAACATTAAATTATATTCATCAAAAGACACCAAAAAAGAGAGTTAAAAGATAGGGAACAAACTGAGTAATGATGTTTGCAAAACAGAAAATCAAAACAGGACTAGTATCCAATATACATATATTTAAAGCTCCTAAGATCAATAAGCAAAAGATAGACAGCCACTAGAAAAACAGCATAAGAAATGTAGAGATATTTCATGGAAGAAGAAACTCAAATGATCGTAAACACTAACGATCCTTAAACACAAGAAAAGATGCTATATGCTCTACCTACATTGCACACACAGACAGGCTGTGCCTCAGACTTGCAGGTAGCCATAAGACTGCTAGGAATGAGACACATACTCCCACTGGTTATGTTCATCTGTGTTCAGGCTGGACACATTTATCCTTCCCGAAATTACACATGCCCGTTCTTATGCTGCTGGGAAGGTATGCTGTAGTCCAGGTCAGATGTTATGTTCTTGTCACTGGTGCCTTCAGCTACCACCATGCTGCCTGAGGCTTCTGCTCTGCAGCTGGCTCTCACTGGGCCTGCCTTGCCAGCATGAAGACCCCTGCACAGGATCTCCCGAGCATCTGCTGCTGGGCCCTTCTAAGCCTCTGCCTCTGGCTCCAGCCACACTATTTTGGCTTGTGGGGCTCTCTTGCCACCAGGCAACACAGGCCCACACTGCCAACGTACACTCAGGTATCTCTTGCCCTGCACAAGCAAGTGTAACAGCTCTTTTAACTCTGCTGGTAAGCCTCCTGATGAGAGCCATATGGCTACATGCTGCTGTAGGAAGATTCCTGCCCAGAATCCTCCAAGGCAATCCCTTGATGGGGCACAGTTAGGCCTCTGTCCTGCATGGGCAAGTGTTACAACTCTTTCAGCTCTGCCCGCAAGCCTCTTGCCCAAAGACACTCAGTTCTTGCTCTGTGGGTTGGCAAGCCATCTCATGCTGTCTTCAGTGTTACAGCTCTCTCTTCTGGGTCTAGGGGGTTCTCAGCATAGAGACCCCAAGTCCAAAAGTTGTGCTCTGCTCCAGACTCTTCTTGATGGCAATGAAGTTCCTCCAACCTCTGTGGGATTGGCCTTTTTATAAACCTTGTTGTTTGTTGTTAGGTGCCAACTCTAAGGCACCTAAACCTAATCCTTGTCAATTTCAAGGTATGGTTCTCCCAACAGGACCACAAACTGACTGATCACCTCGGTAGACAATAAGTCACTCAATTTGTATAGTCCCAGCTAATCATTTTGGGGAAGTTATAAGACCATGGCTGGAAAAGCCATATAAAAGCAACTCATTGCACTGTAGATGCTCAACTTCATTAGTAATTAGTAACTTCATCAAGGCAAGTCAAATTAAAAACATTATTATAAATCATTTTAAACATACTAGGTAGGCAAATTTTTAAAAGTCAGACAATACCAAATTTTGGCAAACTGTTCAGTAATTGTAACTCTTTTTACTGCTGGTAGGAGTGTAAATTGTTTCAATCACTTCAGAAAATAGTTTGGCTTTCCCTATAAACTTGAACATGTATGTCATGGATTGAATTGTGTCCCCCAAAAATATGTATATCAGTTTGGCTAGGCCATGATTCCCAGTATTGTGTGATTGTCCACCATTTTGTCATCTGATGTGATTTTCCTATGTGTTGTAAATCCTATCTCTATAATGTTGATGAGATAGAATTAGTGGTAGTTATGTTAGTGAGGCAGGACTCAATCTATAAGACTGGATTGTGTTTTGAGCCAATCTTTTTTGAGATATAAAAGACAGAAGCAAGCAGAGAGACATGGAGACTTCATTCCACCAAGAAAGCAGCACCAGGAGCAGAGTGTGTCCTTTGGACCCAGGGTCCCTGTGTCTGAGAAGCTCCTAGACCAGGGGAACATTGGTGACAAGGACCTTCCTCCAGAGTCAACAGAGAGAAAGCCTTCTCCTGAAGCTGGCGCCCTGAATTTGGACTTCTAACCTACTAGACTATAAGAGAATAAAATTCTGTTTATTAAAGCCATTAACTTGTGGTATTTCTGTTATAGCAGCACTAGATGACTAAGACAATGTGTATATCCTACAACTCAGCAATTTCATTAATATGTATGAACTCTAGAAAAATTGTTGAACCTCAGGTAAATTCTTGCACATGTTATCCAGGAACATGTAAAAGAATGTTTATAGACGCTTTGTTCATAAGAGAAAAAAATGGAGACAGCTAAATATCCATCAAGAATGAGTAAATAAATTGTGGCAAAGTCTTATAATGGAATACTATATAGCAATAAAAAATCAATCATCTATAGCTATACACAACAGCATTAATGAATCATGCAAAAACATAATTTTGTGTGAGAGTAAAGTGATAGGGAAATATACCATTTAATTATATTTATATAAAGTATAAAAATGAGCAAACTAAACAACATACTATTTAGGGCTACATACAGAAGCCCTGGTGGCACAATTGTTAACTGCTTAGCTGCTAACTGAAAGGTAAGTGGTTCGAACCCACCCCGTGGCTATGCAGGAGAAAAGACCTGGTGATCTGCTCCCATAAAGATTACAGCCCAGGAAACCCTATGGAGAAGTTCTACTCTGTCCTAAAGGGTCGTTATGAATCGGAAATCGACTAGACGGCACACAACAACAAAAACAAAGGTATAAAATCTACAAATAAAGAGCAAGGCCATGGTCAATATATAATTCAGGTTATTGGTTATTGCTCAGTGAGAGGAGGGAGTTGTGATGAATGAATGGCTTGTAAGAGGTAATACTGTATTTCATGGTCTTGGTGCTATATACTGGTATATACGTAGCTGTTCATTTACTGCTCTTTAATGTGTGCAGGTTCATCTGTATTCACTCTTTTTGTGTATGCTATATTTTAAATTTAAAAAAAATTGCAGAATCTAAGAACTCAAAAACAGATATCCCAATTCAATAAATTAGGATGGCACCCAGAAACCAGAATATCACATTTCCGTAATGATTCTAATCACTTTACTACCACTTTTGAGTTGGGTTCTTCAGTCTTGGAACTTGGCATTTCAAAAAGAGCTACAATGTGACTAAAAGAGGCAATTTATAAAAAAAATACACACGTCTTCAGTCTCAGAAATTACCACTTTACTATACAAAAAAAAAACTAAGCATTTACAAAAGAAAATCAAAAGCAGTTGCATTTTTTTAGACTACATTAAGAAAGTTACGCAAGAGTCTCATGAGCAAGCAACATCATAAAACATCTCCGTACCTTGTCAGTACCATACAGAGAAATCCTGTCAACTGTTATACCATTATAGGTTGAGGAGTTTAGTACCTGAAAGTCAACCCAGCACCCTCTTGGTTTATCATTTCCTGTACAAATATAACACTCTGGCATCTTTACAAAACATGAAATTGTTTCCAATGAACTTTATAGGAATAAAATTTTGTTATAGGAAATAGAATATAAAAAAGGTGACATAGGTCAGCTGCAAGTCAATATTAATGTTAAATTTTTCTAAGATGTATTAAGTTATAACAATTAGTTCAAGCAACACTGTTTAATTATTTTGGAGATCTCAGCATAGAGTGCTGCTATTTCAAGCAATGATTCTATGGAATAATTTTATTTTACATATTTACATATTATGTTATTGTATATACATATCAAGGAACTGCTCCAGTCATTGCATCTCAATGGCAGTGCCTATTTTTTCAGGTAGAAAGTTTTCCTTTGGCCTTTTGTTCACAGCAAGGGACACAGGCAGCCATTTCTTTACACATGTCCATTATATTCAAGGAAGTCTGAATGCTCAGCTAGTTGTTTTCCCCATGGAATGATGGGCAGTATTAAGGATTTGGACTGATAAATACTGTCTCTGGTTGAACATTTCAAACGTTAACTACACTTTTGATTTCAGTGCTTCTACAAGACTGTATGAGCCTTTCATGTTGGCTTTTCTCACAAAGTAGACGGTCATTCCAATGACAGGTATTATTAAGGAGCATGCACAATAGAGCACAAGAAGTCCAGGAGACAAATAGTCCTGGTTATTTTCTCTTCCTGGAAAATAGGGAAATGGATGCAGTTAATGTCTCGTACAAAATGAAATTGTTTAATAATAATAGTAACATGTTTTATTATAACAGTACAACTAGTTCTCCCCGAAGAAGTGACTCAAAGCAGTGACAAAGACCCAAAGTGCATATTTCTCAAATTATCTAAATAATCAGCTGGTGGTTGCTATGGTTGTGACAGGTCTGAAGATGACACTAATTGATTCCATGATCTGGGATTCAACTAGATTCAAGTTTAGTTGTAGAGTGGATGCAACTTTTTAGGACTCATTTACAAGAATAGGAATTGGTGGAAGGTGTTTTCTTTGGGAAATAGAAATATGTACTAAAGAACTGTGACACTGATCACCATGATTTGAAAAGACTAACAAGTTCTCCAAGTAAACCTTTGTAACACTTAGAATGCAACCAGTATTTAAAAAAAAAAAAGGTTGCCCTCGAGTGGACGGGACCCCATGTGTTACAGAGGAGAACTGCTCCATAGGGCTTTCTTGGCTCTCATCATTACAGAAACAGATACTGGTGTAGCAGAGTCAAACTGCCAACCTTTAGGCTAGTAACTGAGTCCAAACTGATTTCACCACCCAGGGACCTCCATCCAGTATAGGCAAATACCACCTAAGATAGTAAGAGAAAGAAATCTTGTCTACCTTTTTTTCAGAGATATATAGAAAACTTTACATTTCATATGTCTTAAGTAGGGCACCTTAGTATATATTATTCCTCTTCAGCATTCATATTATTTCTTGATAAACTGAAGTTCTTTGGATAGCATCATGTTTCATCTTAAATGTTACTTTCTCAGAGATGCTTTCCCTGACCTGCATCTCCTTCAGTCTAAATTAGGAACCCAACACACTCTCATAACCCACTACACTTTCCCTTCACAACCCTTATCACAATTTGCATACGTGTTGCCTCAGTCCTGGCAGATATGAGAGATCTGACTTTAGTGATCGCTGCATCCCCTCTAGAACTTTCAAATCACTAGAGGTCAACCAACTAGAAAAGAATCATTAGGGTCAGGTTAAGTGAAGTCAATTTTTCAAATTATTGACATTAACAACACTTCACATAGTGATGATTGCTTCAGTTTTCTACTTTCCCTTGCTAGATTAGAACTAATCAAAATATAAGGATAATATCTTAATCAGATGTCCATCATAATCATAATTTTTATTAGACATCAGTATTGATGACAATAGTATTTCTGGGCAATGGTATTTCTGCACCTACTATTTTATTTTCAATTTAATAAGTATTATCTTTTGTCTTTCAGTTTTCCCTCGGGTACCTGCAGTAAAATATAACTTGTTGCTGAGTCAGTTGCCAGGGCATTGCCAGGGAAAATTTCAAATATGATTTTCTAATAGCTGTATAAATAACACAAATCCTAAAGATTCCCAACTATCACTATCATTGGAATATATTCAAGCCACAAAAAATTAAAACTCCAGCTAAATAAAAAAAAAGACTACTTCAAAAGATGTGGGGAAAAAAAGTGTCAATTGTTTGTCTCCATTCATATCTAGTTATTTTAAACCATATTTAGGTTGAGGGTCTGAATTTCTAGCTGAGTACCCAATATTCTTTGATTTCATTTAAGTAATGAACGAAAAATGGCAAATATGTAAGTTGTTAATTTAATAAAACGCCTAGAAAAGACAACATTGCGTGAGAAAGAGTTAAAAAGTGGAGAAGTTTTGAATTGTGTCTTTAAAAGAAAGTAATTAACTACAGACAGAATTACGAAAATGTTAGGAGTCCAGTTTCCTGGGGCTAGACTCAGTTAAAGGCAGCCTAGGGCCCTGGTGGCACAGTGGCTAAGCACTCGTTGGCAACTGAAAAGTCAACATTTCGAACCCACCAGCAGCTCCATGGGAAAAAAAACTAGCGATCTTCAGCCTAGGAAGCCCCATGGGGCAGTTCTACTCTGTCATGTAGGGTCACTATGAGTCAGAATCAACTCGACAGCACACAACAACAACTAAGGCATCAAGGATTAAAGAAAATGGGAATGAATGAATTTACACCTACTTGTAACTGAGATCGCAATCCCTCCAGAATCATATTCAACCTCATTGGAAGCACGAATTACATACATCCTTGTGTCATTTTGAGTGATATGATACAAGGTAAATGTTCCATCCTTCGAACTCATAGTAACTTCATTGACGGGATCAACTCTTTTCAGGATAATTACTCAGAGAAATAACCTAAAAGTTTTACAGGTAATCATGATATTTTCCCCTTCTTTTACATTTCTAAATGGATGTACTGATATTGTCGAATTTCAAGGAGGTAATTTGAAGACAGAAAACATATTGTAAGGCTTGCAATCCTAGAAAAGTTGGCCAGATGCATAAAATTTTCACTTGTGTTCTGACCTGGGTTCAAATATTGTTTACGTTGACAGGTGGTTGCTAACTCTGATAGCCAAGTGCCAGAAGTTCTTAAGAGTTGGCATTTGTGTGTAGTACTGTTCACTCCAGGGCCAAGTTTGGCTTCCAATACACAACTGGAGCTCATTAGCATGCAAGGACTGGGGGAAACTGATAAAAGCAGACATATTCTGCTTACTTCAATGAGATCAACAGATCCTACTGTGCATTCACAAGAGGGTTTAAGAGATTAAGGGACACACAAGGAGTCGGAGTCAACTCTACGGTAGAAACTGCAGTCTAAACCAGTTGCCATCAGTCAGCTCTGACTCATGGCAGCCCCATTTGTATCAGAGTAGAACTGTGCTCCATAGAGGTTTTCAAAACTGGTTTTTCAAAAATAGATTGCCAGGTCTTTCTTCCAAGCAGCCTCTGGGTGGACTCAAACCTCCAACCTTTTGGTTACCAGTTGAGCATGCTAACCATTTGCACAGCTCAGGGACTCCTTCTGTAGTCTAGGGATTCTTTTATGTTGTTCTGGATCAAGAGTTCCACCCCGGATTGTTTATTATCCTGAAAAGAGTCAATCTAGAAAATACTCAGTTACTCCATGTTCAGAGAATCTGTTCCTTTCTGGTAGGAAGGAAGAAGGTCTATGTAGAAGCCTTCTTTTTCCCACATGTCTGTCTTACTGCTTTGAGTTGTTAGTTGCCCTTTAGTCGATTCTGACTCGTGGCAACTCTACGAGTACAGAGTAGAACTGTGCTCGATAGGGTTTTCAAGACTGTGGTCTTTCAGAAGCCAATTGCCAGGCCTGTCTTCTAAAGCGCCTCTGGGTGGGTTTGAACCACCAACCTTTCTGCTAGTAGTCAAGCGCTTAACCACTTGTGCCACTCAGGGATGACTCCTCCTGCTTTAGTTTCTCCATATCCTCCAGAGAAAGATTTTAAAAATATGGTTAAACACTTAGCAAATGCAAGACCTTAGAACCAATGATGCATGGTCAACTCTGAGAAGAGCAAATGGCAATTCCACATCCACCAATGATTAATGTCAACTTCCTGGCTAAACGCTGTAGGATAGAACAGCTGTGCTTGATTATTTCAGGAAACATTAAAAAGTAACCACAATAAAAATGGAATTCAGGTCCATTTTGACAACTCATTAATCTAATCGTAGGAATCCTTTACAATCCACCAAACCTTGGAACTATTAAAAAACAAAAACAAAAACTAACCTTTAACATCAAGTGTCAAGCTTCTTAACTGGGAGCCAACCGCACTTTTAGATTCACATTCGTACACTCCTGCATCCTCTAACTGGGCTTTGGGTATGGTATATGTGCCATCTATAGATTTTAGCATCTTGTCTCCCGTTTCTGCTTTCTTCTTCAGCGTTATCCAAATTTCTGAAACGTTTCCACATGTACAGGAAATAGTGACAGTGTCTCCTTCCTTGACACTCTCAGATGGAAAAGCTGTAAGCTGTATATCTTTTGGCACAACTGTGAAGAGAATTTAAAAGCCACCATTGATTGAGTGAAATATAAACCAATTCTATATTAATTTAATGACAGAAACAATAGCTTTCAAGGGGCTAATTAGTGCTTATTTACACTGTTTGCATTAAATGTTTAGGGGGCAAGTAAAAAAGTCAATATTATTGCAAATGATTATGTTTTTAATAAAAGGAAGACGGGTCTTACGATTCTCTCATATTCCTTAATATAATTCCTTAACCAGACAAGCACACACACACAAAAAAATGGGTGTTTAATAAACAACTACAGAATTAAAATGTGAAAAAGGAAATCTGTTTTTTGTGACATTGTTTTAAAAAAATTTTCCTTGAAGTACCAAGCTCTTTACAGAGTAATAAACAGCCATAGAATTCAAATGTGAAGAGGGAAGATTAGTTTTTTTGTTATATTATCTTGAAAATTTTTTCCTTAAAGTACCAAGCCCTTTACAGACTTCTGAGTTTTGAGCTAGATCCTCCCAGATCAAAAAAATTAAGCTGTACAGAGATGGTTTTCTTGCTGTTCTTAACAACCACAGCCACCATTTACTAATTGCCAGGCAATGGACTGGTATGTGATATACAACATTTCTATTAATACAGCAACCTGTATTAATAAGGGAAGTGCCTTATCACCATTTCACAAGTGAGATTCCTATTATGATCACCTATCCTGTGACTTGATTTAAGACTTTTTCCTCATCCAGGGTCACAGTACCATAACATCCATCCTAAGGGTTCTCTTTAAGGTTGTACATTGCCCTTTAAAGGCTTTTCTTTTAAAATGTAACTATTATCAAAGTGAGGTAACAAGAAAGTCACAAATACCTCTCTGGAAATAATACCAAGAGGTAGGAAAGGAAATGACATCTTGGTGAAGAAAAGACTCTTGATACCTAAAGGGAAGGCACCAGGGCAAATCCAAATTGAGCACTTCACGGTTTTGCCTATCCCTGGCTAGGGCCTCAACCAGCCAATGAGGAGATTACTTTGTTTCAGTCCTGACTCTCCATCTCAGAGAGAGGGGGTCTTAATATAATGACTTAACTCCCTCTCATAGCTCTTCATCACCAGGCAGATGAACCAGAAGGCATAGTAAATGCTACTCTTCATCCCAGAATTTACAAAAGGTTTAAATGCCTTATTAGGCTTCTAAGCAAATACTAGTAGGCCCCTTCGGAGATTCCCACTTAGGATCCACTTAAACAAAATATGGTGGTTTTTTTTCCTAAATAATTTCCAAATACATATATACCTCTTCTATAGTGGTTATTTCAACAATATAAACACTGCCTCATAAGTGTACCTGGAACTCCTGACACAGTTCCTGGAGCTAGCTTTCCATTTGAGGTTAAACGAATTTCAGGATAAGTGACTTTGGAATGGTTCATGGAAAAGGACCATGCCAGGAGCTTTCCATGAAAAAGAAACTGCACCAGCTCTTCAAAACCCTTAATGCATATTTTAGGTACAAATTTTGTTTTCCAAGAGAACTTTGCTCATAACCAGTACTACAACCAAAGTAATAATATCGATAATAATTTGTAATCATGCTCTGTTCACCTTGAATAATTAATTCGACTTCTTTTCTGTTTATTCCAGCCTGGTTAATCCCTTCACACACATAAATACCAGAATCTTTCATCTTTGTAGACATTAAGGTGAAAGTTGTATTTTCGGAAAGAGGCTGTAGATCTCCGTTATTTAGCTTCTTGCTCCACAGAATCTTTGGAGCTGGAAGGCCATCACTAAAGCACGTCAAGTTTACAAAACTACCTTCCTCCACAATGGAGGAAGGGCTAACCAGGATGGTTGTATCCCTCGGGGCAACTGAAAAGATAAAGCTACTTGTTAGCTTAACCTCTTACACCCTGAGTTCCAAAGAGTTTTAATAATGTTGCAAAACTAGGCTAAAGACTCGGCAGATTAGAACAGTTTATAAACCCTGACAACTTTACCAAAGGAGTTTCTGTCCCTAACTTACCATTTACATTAGCAGAATGATAGAGAGTAGAATATGCACATCATGAATATTTTCTAATACAAGTAAAGTTCGGTAGAAATCCCGTTGCTACCAAAGAATGGATGGTCAACGATGGTGTGTGTTGCCGTTGTGGTAAATTAAACATGGCCAGAAATTATTTGAATCTCCTCTCATCAAAAAAGTCTGTTTTTCCACTCCTTGAATCTGGGTTGGCCTTGTGACATGCTTTGACCAATAAAAGATTTAAGAAGTAACACTGTAGGACTTCCAAGCTTTCAAGCTAATGAAAGCTAATGAAAGAGGCAACTTTCATTACCACCCTCTTAAAGCAAACACTGTGCCCTGGTGAGCAAATCTGGATGAGTTTCCTTGAGGATGAGACACCACATGGACAAAGAGAGGCCCATACATCTTCAGCTAATGTCCCAAACATGCAAGTGAAGCCATTTGGGACCAGCCCCTTTAGTCAACCTGCCGATTGACTGACTATGCCTAAGTGAGCTCAGGTGATACCATATTGAGCAGATGAACTGCCCAGATGATCCCTTCCCAAATTGTCTACTCATAGAATCATAATTAATGGTTATTGTTTTAAGTTTTGGGAGTGGTTTGCTACAATGATCATTATTTTGAAATTTCCTTTCGTTAACTACCGCCTGGCAAACATGATAAAGAAATCCATATTAAATTTTGGACACATCACATATGTACTTACCGTTAACATACAGTGTCTCTGTACTCTGCCTTTGTTTGGGTTCAAACTCCATTTCACTAATATTTAACTTAGCCCGACAAACAAGAACTTTTCCAGTGTCTTTGGTGGTGGGGATGAACGTCATTTCCAAACTCTTGGTCTCTAGGGATTGCTTATCCATGTCCCCCCAAAAGCCTTTATTCTTTATAATATTTTCTCCCATTAGTAAATCAATCTCCAACCGGTCAAAAGGGTACACTTCAGGAACCTTGCAGCTTACGGTGACGGGGTTTTCATTCACTACAAGATCACTCATCTCAATTTCTGGATCTCTAAGGAACGCTGCAAATATCAAGCAAAAATGATGCTTACATGTGCCCTTCAAGGAAAAACTGAACCAATCTTTATTAAATGCAAAAGTCTCAAAATGACAGCTTTAATTCACCTGATATAGAATGATTATCAATATATAAAAAATGACATTAAATGTAAATACTTGTGTATGATATTAAATATAAGTAATGCTGGAAACAAAAGAAACACCTAATTCATCAACTCCTCAAGTAATTTAAAAAAAAACCCATTGACAGCGAGTCGATTCCAACTCATAGAGACCCCATGTGTTATAGAGTGGAATTCTTCCATAGGGTTTTCTTGGCTGTGATCTTTACAGAAGCAGATCACCAGGCGTTTCTTTTACAGTGCCATTGGGTGGGTGCAAACTGCCAATCTTTAGGTTAGTAGCCAAGTGCAAACCATTTGCACCACCCAGGGACCAAAGTGATAAATATACTTCTTACTTTTCTCTTCTTAGTGATGCAGCTTTGCTGAAAGCCATGACCTGATCTTTTCTAAGAAGTTGTCAGTTTCCACCATCTTATTTAGTAACTACGTATTTTAAATGTTTATAATTTACAGAGTATGGGAGTACTAGTCCCTTGATACTGATCATCTCATTCTTCAGAACAGCTGATAAAACTGGTATTAACTTATTTTACGCCTAGAAAAACTGAAACTCAGAGGATAAAAGACTTTCATTCTGCATCACACCTAGCAAGTTGCCAAGCTGAGATCAGAACCCCTTTTTCTCTGATCTCAGATCCGAGGCTGGATTTCACAGAGCCAAGCAACCCTTCAAGATCAGATAAGACCCACAGGACAGTTCTTAATTTAAACACTTTCTAATGACTGTATTTAGCCAGTAAGTTTTAAATATTACTCAGATAGTACTTCCAGTTAAAAAAAAAAAAACTATAAAAGATTTTGTTTATAAATAATAACATTTATAATACATACTATGCAAATCAATAGAAATGAGACTGACCTGGCTATCAAGAGCAACAGCAATGCTAAAAAAATTTTTTCCCTAAGAAAAATATTGTTGAAAGTGACACTTTCTCAAATATTTCCATACTGCAATAAGACTTCACCACTGGTTCTCATTTCTGTTGGAAATGTGCCTACCTCAGCAGATCCTAGGCTCTGGGTAATATGATAAGGCAATAAAATTTACCCTTCTTTTGAGAGTTTCAAATCCCTTTACAGACATACTCTAACTCATTCTGGACAAAATCCTGATGGGTAACACAAGTTTGGGCAGGGTTTCTGGTGGAAAATCTCCACAATATGTTCTCTTGAATTCTGCTGAATAAAATAAGGCAGAGTAACTCTCTCAAAGAAATATCTTTGTGGTCACTTTGCCAATTTTGTCCCTTATTCGTTACAAACTGAGGAATTCCAGCAGCGTCAAATTCTTAAGAGATTTGAGGTTGTAAAGGATTTTTATGAAGGTGAGAAGAACGGCAAGGAAAAGTATAGATTATATATTACACTGTAAATCAGTATTAAGAGGGCGTCTGTAGTGCTGTTTCCTAGTTCTGAGCTGTTTCACCTGAGCTGCTACCTGACAACCCCCATCTCCAGTCTAACGCCTGTCTTCATATTTGGCTTTCTCCCGCATTCTATTGACTCACTTCTTTTCCTTCCTTCGGGTTTCCAAATGTGTCTTTAGAATCAGTAGGTTCAGGCCTTATCCCAATTGAAATGGTTGAGCAGGCAGTCACTCCCACCCAGTTATCTGAATGGGCACTGATGCTTGATTGGGAGGTGTCTCTGACTTTAGTGCTAAGTACTTTCCCCCCACTCCTTGGTTACTACCACCTCCAGTCCAATATGCACACAGAGGGAGCATTGGTGTGTTCAAATGAATGACGAGCACATCGATAAGACACAAACTAAGGATTGTGAATGCTGTGTACATATACAATACATGCTTAAGATTTAGGCTGATTATGTTGCATCAGACAATTCTGATTCACAGATATGTGAACCATGTTGTTACCTCCCATTGAGTTGCCACTAACTCATGGCTACCCCATGCACAATGGGATTGTACCCTTATGATCCATAGGGTTTTTATTGGCTGATTTTTCAAAGGTAGATCCCAGGCCTTTCTTCCTAGTCTGTCTCAGTCTGGAAGCTCCACTGAAACCTGTTTAGCATCATAACAACATGCACCATCTCCACTGACAGATGGGTGGTGGCTGTACATGACCAGAATCAAACTGAGTCTGCTACATGGAATGTGAGAATTTTACCCCTGAACCACCATTACCCCCTTAGGAACCATACACAATGCTAAATTCCCTTTCTAAACACATGGATCTCATTGTATATCACAGACTGTGATCTTTTTTTCCACCTGAGCTTAAAAAAAAAAAGTCATAAACAATTCTGAAAAATACTTACAATAGACTTGCACCTGGATTCCTTTTTCCAGTTTCTTATGCCCACAAGTCACTGTACACAGGTAATCGTGTTCGTTCTCAAAGCTAATGGGACTCAGGGTCAGCGTGGACTTGGTCCCCTCGCTTCTCACCTTCCCACTGAGTGGGCTGTCTATCTGGGTTCTCCAAGAGAAAGATGGGGATCCACAGCCTGTGACATTACACGTCAACACAACTGAGTCCCCAATCTGAGCAGCAATCCGGGACTTAGGGGAGACCTCGACTGTAAACAGTTTCTCTGAGGGGAAAGAACAAAGCGAAAGGAAGGTAAGACTCTTTTCTTCTTCCACCACATTGCAATATATGATTCCCCCCGCCCCCATCTCCTTTTAGCTAATACCTCTGCCAAAAAGAAAATACTCCTTTCCATGTTGGAACCGTGAGAAATGAGACCACATCTTTTAAGAAAGAACCCAGGACAGTCCATTGATTCACTCATTTAACTGAATGAACGTAGATAAAGATTTGTCAACACAGAGGTTGGCATCTTTTTATAGCATCGTCCAGTCTCTTCTCAAATGTAGTTTATCAAGTCCTTGCAGTACTGGATGAGAGCTCAAATAGTGTAAGTGGCTCCTATGTGTCAGATACTGTGCAAACCACTTTACATATATGATCTCATTTAACCCTCACAATAGTTTTATGAAGGGGTAATATTATTTCTCCTTCCCTCCTTCAGGAAATTTAAGCTCAGAAATGTTAAACAACTTTACACAGCTTACAGATTGCAAAATTAAGACGTAAAGCCCGGTGGGTTTGATTTCAGATCCAAAGCTTTTCCTTTGCTAAAACAACTAAACCAAGTCATTGTCATATGGAGATAAAACAAGATCTAAGGTGGCATACTGGTTAAGAGCTACAGCTGCTAACCAAAAGGTCAATAGTTCAAATCCACTAGGCTCTCCTCGGAAACCCTATGGAGCAGTTCTACTCTGTCCTGTAGGGTCTCTATGAGTCGTACTTGACTCAACAGCAATGGGTATGTACATAAGAGAGGTACTAGAAAACCTACAAAAAATATCTTCTAACTAGATATATCTGTAATAGACCAGTGGTTAGAGATTTCGTCTGAACAATAGAAAGCTACACCATTGAAAGCCACATGGAATCAAATTGAAAGCTAAGTAAAAACCTAAGCACTATAGTGATACACAAGTCACCTCTAAAATTTGTTTGATGCAATAGAAAAATGCTTTAAAATTAATTCAGAGGCTGAAAGCTGAGATGTGAGGGCAAAATCTTAAGTCTCAAATATCCAGGAAAGCTGTTTGGCTACAGAACTATCCCTGCTGGGTACACAGGCTTCTTTTGGATGACTGTTGTTTAAGGGGAAAGGAACTCTAAATCCTGCCCTCTGCTGCCCTGAAGAAACTGGGGGTTATTGGCCAACTCCGAAAGTGACAGATGAGATGCCACAGGAAAGAAATAAAATCTTCCTTACTGTAAATATCAGGCTGGGGATGGAGGAAGGAAATCTCAAGAAATAAGTAATCCAAACACACTGGATTTTGCAAGATTCATGTCTGTGCAGGTGAAGTTATTCTTCTCGATTGGTTTGTCTAATTGCGACATGTCAATATCTTCCAAATATGACTTTCCTCAAATTACCTCATTAAACTAATGTGCTATTGATTTTGAAAGACAGAAGTCATTCAGAACAATAACCAGAGCTTCCTAGTTCCTTATATGCCATTGTGAAAATGGGGATCTTGAAAAACACATCCTCTTCCTGCCTATGAACAGTTCGCAGATCATTCTTGACTGTAGCTGCTTATTTTACACTGTAAACTTGTGGCTCCTAGGGAAGTAACTCTTATAGGTAACTGAAAAGCTGCTTTGAAAGCTCATTTCTGTCAATTCTACCTTCAGTAGTTAAGGAAGTTAGAATACCACTCCGATGCAAAATGCAAAACAACCCTCCCCAACCCTAGAACGTATTTCTTTTTCACCACTGAAATGGCAGACAGTTTATTAAGGAGTGAAGTTTATTCCAGGATCGATGATTAGCTTTACTAGCTTTTATTAGTCTAATATCTTTGCCGGTCTCTTGGGAATGCTAACCTAACATCCGACTGAGTTCATTTACTAATGGTGAGCTTGAATTTTATTTTACTTTTTTAGCTATCCTAGTTTAAGCTCTACTCTATGTTTAAAAATTTTTTAATTTAAAAGCTTCATTTAAAGAAAATTGTCTTGTCCTTGTTTACAAGTTTTTCATCGAACAAACATTCACTGAGAACATATTATGGGCCAGGTACTGTACTAGACATTCAAACATTAACACACACACACAAAGAGAGAGACAGACAGACAGAAATCCCGACTTTAAGGATCTTACTGTTTAATGGAAAGATACATTTAAAAGTTTTTTTTTTTTTGGCACTTACTAAAATATATTCAACTTACTTGTTTATATGCCTGACTTTCCCTCCTAAAATGTAAGTCCTCCCCCACCCCCGGGCAGTCTTCATGATTTTATTCATAATTCCCAGCATCTAGCACAATTCTTTGACTCTTAGACCAGGGTTTTTAATATGTGTTGAAATGAAAAGAAGTGCATATATGTCTATAAGAAGAGTTGAGTGAACGCAAAAGGAGGAATGACTAACTTTGCTTAAGTGAGTCTGGAATTGAGAGGCTGACATGAGCTTTGTCTTGAAGCCTGGGTAAGACTTTGCCAGGTGAAGGAAGGGGAAAGGGCATTCCACACAGAAGGAACAGCACGCACTGAGGCACAGGGTCACAAAGGTAGTTTCTGACCAGATTGTGAAGAGTTTTATGTGACTATTTTACGACACGTTCATTTTAATTTATATGCAATTAGGGTTTCAACTGAAGTCATATAATATGAGCACCTTTTTTGTTTAAACATCATAACTTTGGTAGCAGCACATAGGATTGATTACTTCGGGGACAGAATGATAGCAGGGAGACCATTTTAAGGCAATTAGCTACAGCTGAAAAGGCATGTGGTTTTTGCATTAAAACGGGCCTGTGTGAAAATCATAGTAATGCCACTAATGAATTATTTAACCCTACACAAATTATGAACTATGCCTGGCCTCAGTTTTTATCCACCTCATATGGTTGTGATGAAGATTAACAAGATAATATATATAAAATGGAAAAGCGAATTCCTGGCAAATATTAGGTGTACGATCAGTAGGAGTCAGTATTAATCTCTTTGTGAGTCTCCATTCTCTCATCTAGAAAATGGATATAAAATACTTTGTTATTTCTTACAGATTACGGATAATGTCTATAAGTGCCTGGAACATAGCTAGTGCTCAGTAAATGTTATTTAAGAATATCTTGCAGGAATCCAAGTAAGAGATGATAAACTAAGGCAATGGCAGGAAGAGTGAAAAAAGAGGTCAATTCTAGGGATCATTTTGAGGGAGAACTGATAGGATTTGACAATTTGGAACGGGAGCATGAATTTGGGAGTCGCCAGCACATGGTAGTTCAAATCTTGGGAATGTATAGTGAGAAGAGAAGAGGGCCAGGGATGAAAGCTTGTTAACACCAATATAACAGGGGGCTGGCAGAAGAGCATAAACCAGGGAATGAGACAGTGAAGGACAATGTGAGATGGAAAAGAATCAGAAAAGCAGACCCATATGGAAGCAATTTCCACATTGAAACCATTTCACCGTTGCTCTATTGCCAATGGCAGCACCTTTCTTATTCCTTTTGCACATTCTACTTACCTTGAACAATTAATTCCACTTCTTTTCTGTTTCTCCCAATCAGATTAACTCCTTCACATATATAAATTCCAGAATCTTCCACCCTCATGGCAATTAAAGTGAGAGTTGCATTCCCAGAAAGGGGCTGTAGATTCCCATTATCTAATTTCTTGCTCCAGAAAATCTCTGGAGCTGGCAGGCCATCACTGGAACACATCATGGTCACAGAGCCACCTTCTTGCAGACTTGTGGAAGGGTTCACAAGGATAACTATATTCTTGGGTGAGACTGAAAAGCAAGGCACAATGTCAGCCGTTGCTAAGCATCACCTTGATCCAATAGGGTAGTATATATTTTTTTTCATAGTCTGTATTCATGTGCTTCCAACAATTTGATGAACTGTTGCTGCTAAATTAATGTAAAGAACTGCTGAGTCATTAAAGGATAGTCAATCCAGTTTTGGACTAACTTGAATGAGTTACATTTTTTGATGTTTGTTATTTTCAGATGGTCATAGATTCAGAATTTAAGAAGGGCCTTTAGAGTCATCTAGTTCAATCTCTCACCCAAGGTAAGAATCCCATCTAACCATCCTTGCCAGTTGCTCATCCAAGTCAGCTTCAATACTGACAGAGAGTGGCAACATGCCACCTGACAAAGCAGTCAATTTGATTTTTGGACAGTTCTAATTATTAGAACATTTTCCCTCTATTGAGTGGGATCTTCCTCTTTGTAACTAACTTTTAACATTGGTCATAGCTCAGCCCTCTGCTGTTACACGGAATAAATTGAATCCATCTTTCATGTGACTGCTTTTTAAATACTTAATTATAGCCCTCTTTTCCAAGTATTGTCTTCTCCAGGAAAAATACCCTCTATCTTGACTATTCTTCTCAAAATATTGCTAAAGAGCCTTTCCATCTTCGTCTCTTTCTGTTAAGCATGCTATAGTTGGTGATACTCTTTTTAAAATGTGGTCCCCAGAGCTGAACGCGCATTTGAGTCTAAAACAGACCTCAATGAGTCCACTTGTGGAACTGCTCTATGGGACTGAAAGACTGTCTTAACTCCCCTGCAGTCTCCTAGAGCCTGGGGGCACTCAAACCCCATCAGCTATCTCCTACTCAGCGCATGCACACACACACACACACACACACACACACACACAGAATAAGCGCCCACCTTCTCAAATCTCTATAGCTGTGCAGCTAATATTTCAAGGCATTTTAGGAGAGTTTACAAAACATGATTTAAAATATTTTCTTGTTTGATCCTATTTGCTACAGTCAGGTGGTACTATTATTCCCCTTTTATAGATTGGGAAATGGAGGCTTAGAGAACTTAAGCAAGTTCACACAGTTAATGGAGTCAAAACTTAAGCTGTCTTCTCAACCCAAATCCAGTGCTCTTTTCACTGAATCATGCTGATGGCAAATATTATGTTCACCATGAATAAAAATGGAGTAAAAACTACAAACAAGTTTTTTTCTTGTATTTAGTTGCTAAGGTTATTGCTGTTCACCAGAACCTAAATTCCCATAAAAACTAGGCTACATACACAAGTACTTACTGTAGACTTGCAGTACTTTTGTGGTCTTTCTTTCTGCGAGTTCAGGATCAATTCCAGCAATGTGTAATTCAGCTCGGCAAAAAAGGGTTTTTCCAATATCCTTGATGACAGGAATAAAGGTTACTTCTAAACTCTTGGTTTCCGTGGACTTCTTGTCCATGTCCTCCAGAAAAATCTGACTCTTCATGACTTGGTCGTCCTTCAGTAAATCTATCTCCAGCCTGTCAAATGGGTAAACATCAGGGACCAAACAAATGACTGTGACTGGCTTTCCAACCTCCAATGAGCCACTCAACTGGATCTCTGGGTCTTTAGGGAAAGCTGCAAAGGCCAAATGAATAAATGTGAGTGGGCTTTTAGCTCATGTTGCATGAGATTCCTTACTGTTTTAACACAAAACAAACCAAGTCTAATGCTTTGATAAATACAGTTTTAATACCGCAGAATCCATTGTTTGCATAGCCTTGCAAGGATTTGGATGGGTTCAAGAAGCAAGAATCAAAATCAGCCATCTTTTGGAGGGCTCTGTTCCTATATGTATTGGTTGCCTGGGTTGCACAAATGGCTAACCAAAAGATTGGTGGTTCAAACCCACCTAGAGGTGCCTCAGAAGAAAGGCCTGGTGATCTGCTCTGAAAGGCAACAGCCTTGAAAATGCTATGGGGCACAGTTCTACTCCACAACACGTGGGGTCACCATGAGTCAAAAATGGCTTCATGGCAACTAGTTTGGGGTTTTCTTGGTTTACTTCTGTGTGTATTAAGGGATGTGTGTTACTGGAATAAAAGAAGAGACAAAAAGTTAATGTTTATGGAATAATTATATGGGCCAATCACTGTGCTACACATTTAACATAAATGATTTTATTTTACCCTTACAAAAACCCCAAGAGATTGAGCCCACATTTCACAGATATGAAAACTGAGACTTAGCACATTTGCATAACTTGACTGAGGTGTCACAGCTACGTAAAGCTGGGATTTAAACTCAGAATTTCTACTACTTTGGATTGCTACTGCAGATTATTATGTCATTCTCTTGTTTTAGTCAGGGCAGATATATTTCCATTTTACAGATAAAGAACCTGAGGCTTAGAATGTCACTGCAAAGAATAGTTATTAGGCAAGATATGCTAAGAAATGAAAAGAGCAACTTTAAATAATTGACTTCTGAGAATAGTGCCCCTGACAGGAATTCATCCACCAGAAAGGTACACCTGTGCAATCTCAAATTCAGGTTTTCCTCCTGAAATGCCCAACACAACGTCCCAACCAGTGCTCCGCTTGTACCTTCTAGTACCAAGGAAACATGGTATTTCAGCCAGCCATTGCCTCCTATGCAAAGGCAACCATTTCATCACAAACCATTGCGATGGTAACACATGGCTGGATTCAGGGCCCTATGTAGTAAGAAGAATACAAAGGCCCCAACTCTAAAGAATAATACAATCCAGTGTGGAGTGGAAGCGGGACTATTAAACATAATGAGAGACAGACATTCTTGGAGAAAAAACCTCAGGCAAGATAATTAAAGCCATAAGGGTCTTTTCTTTTTTACAACTTCAACGTTTTTGTATTTGTGAGCAAAGGTGAAGGAACCACCAATGCTGCTACTAATGAAAAAGCTCAGTATTTTTTCATTTTTCATCAACAATTTCTGACCCTCATATGCTGTAAGAAATGTGCCTATAATCCACACAGTTTGATGTCAGTAATATAAGAACTTGCTACTTATCCCTGTATTTACATAAAGGGGCCTTTCAAGGAGTTCAGGGGGCGCACAGGCAGAAACTGTGCACGCAGGACCAGCATGATTGAAAGCAGCCAGGCAGACGCAGTTTCTTGGAAGCATTGGCAACACACGTGGCTTGCTGAAGAATCAATTAAGGTCACTGGGCAAAGTTGGGCTCCAGGATAGCCGAAAAGAATCAACATCACTATAAGGTAATCAAACAAGGTCGTCATGAAGAAATGACCATAAAGGAATCCAGTTTTTTTAGAAAGAGTGGTCATCAGCAGTGAAAAGCAGGTGATTTATTTCAGGCTGGTGTTACTCCTCTTGCTAACTTTGTGTACTGAATTGAGACTGGACCAGGATGCATTCTGGTAGACTAACCTATCAAATTAAGGTAAATTAGGGGTACTCATTTACGAGGCCAATGTAGTTCATTATACAAATATTATGAGGTTCAGCTTCAAGGCTTATTGGAACAAAAAAAAAAAAAATTCTAATTTTATCTTCACGAAAGTCAAATAAGTGAAATGTTTGCAGATATTTTTCTCATGTCTAAGGGGAAAGCTGTATTATAGATCTTCTACTTAACCTTTAAACTGGTTTCAAGCACCAAATTGCATAAAGATAAATAAATGAAAAAAGCCTAAAGGATGTAATTCATAAATCATTTAGACACATTGCCAAGTAACAATGTTAGGACTTAATCAAATGGAAATATTTTTAAAAAAATAAAGAGAACCCTAGAGATCGTATTTCATAGCTAAGAAAACCAAAGCCCAGAGGTTAGATCTTACTCATGAGCTCCATGTTTGTGGCAAAGTTGGAAATAGAAGCCAAGATTTAGGTTCCTGATCTAGGGCTAGACTCAGCTGTCTCTAGCTTTTTTGATGCAGTGTGCTCTCTAGCCAAGAATCTGAACGTGAATATTCGCCTTTTAAGAAACTATCTTAAAGCAAAATTGAGAGAAAACCAAAGATTCTCTGAAGCACTCACAGTAGGGTTCCACCTGGATTCCTTTTTCCAGTTTCCCAGATCCACAAGTCGCTGTGCACAGGTAAGAATGGTCATTGTCGAAACTAACAGGATCCATGGTCAGCGTGGACTTGGTGCCCTCACTCCTCACCTTCGCATTCAGCGGACTGTCTATCTGGGTTCTCCAAGAGAACGATGGGGAGTCGCAGCCTGTGGTGCTGCAGGTCAGTGAGACCGACTCACCAATCGGAGCAAGAACTTTGGATTCAGGGGAGATCTCGATTTTAAAAGCTTGAGCTGGCAAGGCAAAAAGAGAAAAAGCAAACTTACGCCTGGTGTCTTTGGTATTCTTACTCCCTCTTCTCTGTTCTAGCATAATGTCCAAAATATGATCTGGCTGATCTTCTTAAACTGATTCAAGCTAACTGCAAAGCAGCCGAAAGGCACCGACATCTTTGCCAAAGGAGGTGTGAGAATCCTCTTTACTTAGGAGAACTCTCAGTTCTAGCCTTGTTACCCATTTATCAGTTGTTTTATTATTTGCTAAGTTTGATCTCATCAAGAAGTACAGGAAACTAACTACTAGAGATAGAATCCAGATTACTCATTTGACGTTGGAAAAAAAGGTATCAAAAAACATCAATTTGCAGCTCCAACTATGACAATATAATTATGTGTAACAAAACTCAACGGCACACTAAAACTTAGGTTAAATTAAGTTTCCCTACTGTTCTAAAAATCCTACTGCCTTTTTTCACTGCCTCAGCACTACTGAACCCAAAACCAAGGCAAAAACGGAATGTTAGTATTTGAAACAGATCAAGGAGAATCACTTACAAGCTGCAAACACCATCCAAAGTATGTTTGAAGTTCCAAAGATTACAACCATCTTCCGAGGCATTTTAAGTTGCTTCTGCGATGAGAAAATACCGTTCCCAAACCTCTCTTTCTGTCCCACTGAAACTGCCGGTAAAGAGTCTCCAACTCCCGAAGCCAGTGAGGTCCAGTGACGAGTGAAATAGAAAGTCTGCTTTTTATAAAGGGTCTTGTTGCAGAGGCGGAGGGAAATCCCTTCAAGGGGAAACCCGAGGCAGAGCCAGGGAAAAAAGTTTCACTGACACCCAGCCAAGTTCCGGCATTAACTCTTTCAGTTGCTCTCAGGACTGAAACTACGTCTCTTTCCCGGAAAAAGAAAACACTTCCAAACCTATCAAATTCAAGCTTTTATTTATTTATTTTTATTTTTTTAGGAGTTGATTTTCAATCCCAAAAGGATATCTTTGCTAAATAGACATAAGGTAATACTCATTGTAGAACTAGGCTTTCCGAATCCATGGAAGAAGGAGGGAAAAAAGGGGGGGAGAGGAGAGAAAATAGTAAATGGTACTGTAGTTTTTGAAGTGGATAAATAATCAGTGCGTCATGTGGACTGATGTTTTTCCACGAAGAAACTATAATTGCAATTCTAAAATAGAGATGCAATTTTTTCTTATAAGAAAAAGGGAAAGATCCTTTCTTTTGATGAGTCATTTTCGGAAAGGGAGACAGCATGATTTCTTAGTTTTATACTTCTTATTCATAAATATAGTTCTTTGGACAACAAACATGAGTTTTCTGAAATGATATTCTTGAGTAGAGAGTAAAGGAATGTAACTGAATTTTACCACCAAATCAGGGACAATCATTTTTTCCTCTTTGTTTCAGAAAAGTGGTTCAAGTGCTGAATAATTGGAAGTCTTTTGCAGACTTAAATGCAAATGTATGGAATTCATCTGAAGTGGTGAATCTCTTGGGCTATGGGATTTAACCACAAACCCCAGTTAAAGCATGAAAAATAATGTTTTTGCTATGGGGAGGGGATGCTAATGAATTTTGTTATCCCCACCCCACCCTTACCCCTACCCCCATGAAATGATTTTTTTTGAAAGCTCAGTTAACTGGCTGTTTTAACACTGCACACTTATAGCCCAAGTCCTTGCAAAATGCTTGCTCATCAAAAAGAAACCGGATTAGCCACTTCCTTGAGTTATATATGTACACGTCTACCTTCCACAGTGGATCATCAGTTCCTTTCAAGGCAGGGACCAGTTCTTGTTCATTGTGTGTCTACCTCTAACTTCCCAAAATCTACTGCATGGTTTAACACTTATAAAAAAAAAAAAGTTGTCATTAAGTCGATTTTGACTCCGAGTGACCCTATAGGACAGAATAGAACTGCTCCATAGGGTTTCCAAGGAGCAGCTGGTGGATTTGAACTGTCAACATTTTGCTTAGTAGCTGACCTCTTAACCACTGCCCCACCAGGGCTCCCATTTAACACTTAATGAATGCAAAAAAGTGTTGTAATAAATATTATATATTTAAAATTTGGAAAGGAAACTTCCAAAATACTAGCAACAATATACAAATACTGCATGAGAAAAATATTAGAGTCCACAAGAAAATTCCAAAGCTCTTCATCTATTTATTAAATGTTAATATTGAGTCTGTACTATTTTTCAGGCACTGTATTAAAGTTTCCAAGACAGAGAAAATCCCTCTTCTATAAGAACTCACGGAGCCCTGGTGGCACAGTGGTTAAGAGCTTGCCTGCTAACCCACTGCTCCTTGGAAACTGTATGGGGCAGTTCTACTCTGTCCTATAGGGCTGCTGTGAGTCAAAATTGACTCAACAGCAATGGGTTTGGGGTTTTGTTTTTTTTTGGTTTTTTTTTTTGGTATAAGAACTCACAGCCTCACAAATATGTGTGTAGTAAATAGCACTGTACTATGCAACAAAGGCCATAACCCTGGTTTGGAATCTACAACTGTCCCTATATGGCTAGAGAGACCTCCGGAGCTTCTTTTGGATATTGATGTGGCTCCCTCCTATCCTTAGTAAAAAACAAGAAGAAGTGGCAGGAGCTATCCTAGTGCTGTGGTAATATGTAAGTGTGACTTCACCTACTGAACATCTAGGAATCAGAAAAGTGGCTTAGTGAAAAATTAACTGGTAAACAAGTAACCGAAGGGCTCTTTATAATATCGGCATCATGGAGGAAGATTGTCAGCACCATTTACAATGGCTGCTTAACTTCAGAACAGATTGAAAGGAAATTATGGAAGTTTTAATACTTTGAGGCACAAAGACAAGTGGCCAATAGGTCCCAAAATGGGATCACTAAGACCAAGTCATGGTAAATCATTTCAGTTCTGAGTTTGGATATGATTCCAAGGTCGGCACATTGGAGAAATGCCTAATGGATTTGGTTTATAGTGGTTTTAGCAAAATATTTTATGAAGTCCCCCATTATAACTTTGAACTAGATGCCATCTGAGGTCCTACCTGCCCCTCTTAGATTGGGTTGATTGCACCCTCTCCAGTGGCCTCGCAACTACTGCATACCTGCGTACATGCTGCATTTACTTGTTAACATGCCTACTTTACTAATTTGGCAACTCAGGAGGTTTAATTTTTTCTGTCTCAGAATATAGCCCAGCTAAGGCACTCATTAAAATTTGTACAATGAGTGAGTGAATAGAGTTGCAAATGTAAGGTTAACAGATTGGGGCTAACCTGTCTAGAGGAATTGTTACAGGGTTTGTCTTTGAACTCATTCGGTTTAATATTTTTGTCAGTGAGACAAAGGACATGATTATCTAAATTTATTCATAACGCAAGACTGGGAGAGATAGCTAACTTTAGAGATGACAGAATCAAGATGCAGGAAAATCTCAAAAGATATGGTCCAGAAAACGATATGAGAGTTAAAGGGAATGCATTAAAATCCAGCATTTAGATGTAAAACATCAAGTGCTTGAGTACAGGAAAGATTTGACTTGGTAGTCCTCCACAGGAAGATGCTCTGGTGGTTTTAGTTAACCACAAAGTGAGCATGCGCTGACATTGCCATGAGCAGCCAAATAGCTGTGATAAACTTAGGTTGCACTCATAGCAATTCAGCCTTCTGATCACCTGAGGTCATGCTCTTTGAGCACTATGCACTCACCAGACCATACTGAGAACAATGTATCTGAATTCTGGTGCCATTCCTTAAGGAAAAGACTGACAAAAATAGAGGGTGTCCAGAGGAAAGTTGTTAGAATGGTAGATGTCTCCAAAATCCCTGACCTAGTAGGAACTGTTGAAGGAACCAGACATGTTTTGTATGGAGAAGAAACACCTATGAAGCAATGTTATAACTGAATGACTGATGTGCAGAGGAAAGAATATACTTGTTGCTCTGTGTTATACCAAAGTCTAAAAGCAGCACCCATGGGTAGATAGGCACTAGATTATTAGCTCTAGAAGGGCAGGGACTGTGACTGTCCTATTCACCTTTTAGCACTTCAGCATTTAACACAATGACCAGTAGATAGTAGTAAATACTTGTTAAATGAATAAATGACAACAATTTGAAAGAGAGCTTGACTCAGAGACCAACAGAACTGAATTCAAGTTCAGCTGCTCCACCTAGGAGTTGTGAAAACTTGCACAAGCATATGCAGCCTCTCTGAGCCTGTTTACCCATGTGTGAAATGGGGATAACGGTACCATTTCAAGTGATTCATGTGATTTTATGACTATCGAATCAAAAGTAATAATGAATGACAAATCTCTTTAGATAAATGACAAAAATACTATAAAAATGGCACATAATAATATTGTTGTTGCTAGGTGCTGTTGAGTCGATTCTGACTCATGGTGACCCCATGTGACAGAGTAGAACTGCCCCATAGAGTTTTCTTGGTTGTAATCTTTACAGAAGCAGAGTGTCAGGTCTTTCTCCCACAGAGCTCTTGGGTAGGTTCAAACCACCAACCTTTACAGTTAGCAGCCCAGTGTTTAGCCCTTGTGCCACCAGGACTCCTTGTAATAATATTAAGAGCCATATTAAGTTCATTGTGAAAAAGGATTTTCCAGTTATGAAATCTATTCAACCATAGAATGGGTCACCTTGTACTCCCAGTCACTGCAAGTGTCCAAGCAAAGGTTAGATGACATCTCTGAATAATGTAGTAGAGGTCAAGTTTTGTTTTATATGAGATTCAAACTGAATGGCCAGTAAGGTACCCCCCAATGCTAAGAGTCTGTTATTGTGGGCAGTAGTATTCGTCCTTTCTAGCTTAACTTCACCAATTCCCTCACTGTCAATATCAAACTTCTAAATATCTTCTAATGTAGTGTGGTTGCACCCTAACACGCTTCAGACATACTTGCAGTTTCAAATCTTCTAGGACTTCCAGTAGTCAGTTTATTATGGACCTCCCTGGAGCAGAAGTTCGTAACCTTTTTTTCTGTGGTGACCTAACACAGCTGAGGGAGTCACACTCCTAGCAGCAATTCATACCTGGGAGAGAGGAGAAAACATTCCTTTGTGGAGGGCATATCAGAAGGGGGTGGGGGAAGTGAAAAACCACTTCAGTATATTCTACGATGTCGACTCCTCTGCTACTTTGAGTATCACTACTTTAGATTGACCTAAATGATCTATACCTATGACTCAGTTGGTTTGGTTGTACGTAACAGAAACTTTTTACAGTGGTTTAACCAAGCAGGGGTCCAAGGGTATGTAGGTCAAGGCTGGAAAACATCAAGGACCAAGACAGATTCTAGTTTCCTAGTCTGTCATCCTTAGCACGTGACTTTCGCTTTCATAATCCCTCCAGGCATTACATTTGCATTTCAAGCAAAAAAAAAGAGGGAAGGGTGAAGGGCAAAAGATCAAAGCCAGTGAAGTTTATTCCTTTTTAAAGAGTTTTCTCAGAAGTCCTAGGTGGGACTTCTCATTGTAAAGGTGGAATATTGACTATTTTAACTGAATGTGTTGTTGCCCCAAATAGATCAGGATTCTGTTAATAAGAAAAAGGGAAGAATGGGCGCTGTGTAGGCAAGTAGCAGTGTCTGTTGTAGTTTCCTAATTCAGTTCAATTCACAATATGTTTATTGAGAAACTACTATTTGCCAGATGCCATTTTAGCCCCGGGAATATTCAAATGAGAACATGGACAAAGTTTCT